TTTTTTGTATACATCCGACTAGTTATACACAATTTTATTACATAAATAACAAAAGTACAAGATCAGAAAATTGCATTCCGATATCATATATATAACAAAAGCGTTAGTAAAAATTGAGATCCACTAAAAATTAAATAATTGCGATTTATTATGTTAGTAAATAAAATTAATAAAATAAATAAAAATAACAATTTTCGAATCTAATTTACTTACGTACAGAACGTTTCTTAGGACAGAAGTGCACGAAGCGCGTACGTTAAATTCGCTACCGTAGGATCCAACCATTTACTTGTACGGCTTTTGTCAGTCCCCTCCCTTGAATTTGGTGCTTGGTTATTGTCCATTTAATACGCTTTTATGTAACGCGTGTGAACACTATCCAACACTAGGAAGACCAATCTTAAAAGATCAATGCGGAAGGAATTTATTTTGGGATTTAATTTAAAAATTGAGTAATATAATTTTAATATAATAATTAAATTAGTCGTGAATTTTAATATTAGATTAAACTCACAACTAATTTAATAATTATACATTATTAGGTCCCTAAATTAGATCTTAAATTAGGTCCAAATAACATTTCTCATCTTAAAATAGAAAAATTATAAATTCAGATATTCTAAATTTGAAATTTGACAACTTTTCTCGGGCTAAATTTGTAAGAGATTTATCTCGCATGGACTCCTTAGTTTCGATATGAATAATCTGTCTTTGATAAAATTGGAGAATAAATTATTCAAAATACGCGTAAATTAATCTGAATACCTTAACAATAACATCCCAAAAAAAATATTAAAAAAACTATTCAATGTTACATCCCTCAACAATTTAAGACCCTCCTATTCATCAATTTGGGTCCACTTTAAATGTTGGATTTTCTATGTTACAAGTTTTATTGTGTTTTTTAGTGGGTTAATCTCATTTTGCATCTTAAAGGATACTCCAATTGTCAATTTGTACTCTCTACATAATTAGATTATCAAATTGCACTCTCAATATTATAAAATAGATGCAATGTAGCCCAATTCGAGAGTGAAATTAAGATTGATAGTACAATTTAAACTTGTCTATATGGTGCTCTCGCTCTTATGGTATGTTTCATAGGGTGGATGAAAAAAATAGAAGAATGAATTATTCTTTCCATCTTTTGTGTTTAGTAAGAGCTATAAAAAGTAGAAATAATTATTTTTTTTTGTGTTTGATATAGTGTAAAAGTGAAAAGATAAAAAAAATATATATATACATATTTTATCATTATATTTATATATAAAATTAATATATACATAATATATAAAAGATAAATAGGATAAAAGGGTAAATAATGTACATTTCAACATATATAATTAATTTTTTTCACTTTTTTTCTCAATTTTGAAGGGATAAATTTTAGTGAGTTAGAAGAAAAACTAATTCATCTACTTAGTCATTCTTCTTATTTTCTTTCTTTATTAAATATGATATTTGTGGGACAAGATGCATTGCTAAGTTGTTATTGCAGCTGTTACCGCCTATAGCTAATGCCTACTTGCTATTACCCAATTGTTATCGCCTACTTGCTACGGCCTAGTTGTTACTGTCCACCTACTATTGTCTATCTGCTACTGTCTTCCTACTATACTGCCTACTTGTTACTGTCCCCTTACTACTATCAGTTGGCTCTCAATTACTCAGTTAAGGTCCAACCAAAGACTTAGAGTCCTAGTCCAACTTTATTTCGAGTATTAAGGGACTAATGATAAGGCTAACAACGCCTCCTAGAGAGCATATATCTTCCTTCAATCTAGGACAGGCAAAATCTTCCGGAAGGTCGCAACAAACCTTCTAGATTCTACCTCAAATAAGTAAGAGTTACCTAACTCTACTTTGTGCATTTGGGGCTAGTGATAAGGTTGAACCAATCAACTAAGAGTTCAATTTCCTTTTGGATATATCTCCCTATTACTATAGATAAAGACCTAAGGGGTACCAGATAAATCATTCAATCCTAACTTATTCACTTCATACTTTTCTTTGATTTATGATCTGACTTAAGTATCGGAGTTTCTTTGACCACATTCGACCATCGGTTCACCTAAATGTTCTCTTATTTTAGAAGTTCTACAAGACTTCTTCACCACCCTCTTCGTTCATACAAGGTGGTTACTCTTTGTGTGAATTTATTCCCGCATAATATTTTATATATCTTTTTAATTTTTCATCATTTTAATTTTTTATCATAACAAACAAAGCATTAAAGGAGAATTACACTCAAACCCCTTAAAATTTTTCACTTAATCACTTATACTCCCTAACATTTAAAATATTATGCATAGACTTCCTGAGATGTGTATGTGCGTAACACTTAGAACCTTGTCGTTAATATCTGTTAATATATTTGTTAATACACTCAAAATCCTTGAATTTTGTATGCGTGGAATTTTTAGACCCCTTAAATTTAAAATATTATATTACAATAAAAATAGAATATTAAATATTTTGAATGTACAACCAAATTTCATGTTCTATTATATCATTTATTGTAATAAAATCAAAAATAAAAATTTATTTTTTTAAAAAAAATTTATAATTAGTATACAATTATACTATATATATATATACACACACATTACTTATACCTAAAGGCATTATACAATAAACAAAAAAATTTTAAACAATTGTCCAAATTCAAAAAGAATGGCCAAAAAATATTTATTCCAATTCTTTTTTTTTAAAATGACTCGAAATATATCGTCAATCATATCCTCCATATTAATAAAATTATCATAAAAATATATAAAAAAATACCATATGTACATATGTCTATGAAAAGAAATAAATAAATACTAACATAACCCATTTAAATTTACAATCTTTAAGCAATAAATAAAATCTTATTTATTTGTAAGACTCACAAATGTATCACATTTACTATCACTCAATCCAATAATATAACATAATTATAAACTCAGCCACCATATTTTCAATTCACCCTATCCATATGTAATAACTATCTCAAGTAAAAAAAAAAATACTAACAGAAAATAATTAAATTCACAATCTTATACAGTAAATAAAATCATCCAAATCTTGCTAATTTATAAAACTCATGAATTTATCACCATTACTACCATTCAACCTCAAATGATACAATACAATTATAAATTTAATCATCAAATGTCCAACTCTCCACATATCAATATACACATAAATAGATCCACGCAATTCTTTTTTGGTTACCAACAAACCCTTCTAACCAATAATTTCTTTTATTAGAAATACAATAATTTAAGTTTATAAGGTAAAATAATAATTAATTAATATTTAATTAAAAAATAGGATAAAAATCATGAATATCCCCTGAGTTTTGACAATACTATACAAAACCCTTAATATTTTATAAATAACAGGGAGACCCCTTACGGTTTGTTATTCATTGAACAAAGACTCCATTTGTCTCCTTTTCGTCAATGTTGCTAACAGAAATTGATATTTTCATTCTAGAAATTTTATTATATTTACAATTGCCTTTCTCCAAGATTAATACAAAAAAAATTAAAAAAATCAAATAAAATTAGATTTAGTACCAAAAAATTGATATAATTTAGTATCCCAAAAAATTGATTAAATTAATTTCAATATTATTTGATAATAATTAAAATTGATTTAATATTAATTCGACAAAGGTCAATATAAATTGGATAAAATTATATATAATTTACAATATGAAGTTTATTTTGTATTGAATATTATTTGGTGTTTATATTCAATGTGTTATAAAAACTTTGAATTAGTTTTATAGAATACACAATTGCATAACATGTGGTTTTCATCTGTTTTATAAGGTAAATAATAACAAAAGCAATATAGGGAAAACAAAAAAAAAAAAGATAATAGCATGAGAGAGAGATAGAGAGTTTTAAAGTTGTAAAAAGAATAAAAATTCAATTAGAACCATCAGATTAAAACGATCTAAGCCACGAAAGTAAGGTCTTTTTGTTTTTTACTCCAATATACTTTCATCTAATTTTTGTTTTTTACTGCAATCTAAGGTTTTTTGAATTCATTTATTAGTAGTACAATTACATTTAAAATTCTATATCTATATATGAAAAAAGTACGGTCTTATATATGTTAAATTATTATACACATATAATTATCAGATTGAATTTTACAGTAAAATATATGTTATATTTTATTTTTGGTATGTAATAATATAATAATATTATAAACCATCTAATCAATCTATTTAATAAAATAAAATTAATAATTTTAAAATATAAATAGATAATAATTAAATTTAATAATAATTAACTATTAAAATTAACTATTTGGAACTTAATTTATTATTTAATTTAATTACACATATAATTTACGTTTTTTATAAAAAATATTATTTAAATTTATTTATGTGCAACGCACATCTTGTATTATTAGTTGGAATAAAACTAAAAAAAAAAAAATCAAATAATGGGTTAAACTGTAATGAATATAATATCTTCTATTTTTAATTGATATAATTTGGTTGTTTAATAGATTTTGTTAATTCTATAACTAATAAAAGATTTAAGTATAATATTTTAAATTTAAATAATCTAAATATTATATGTATATAAATTTTAGGGAGTCTAAATATAATTTACTAACGAATATATGTACGTATTTCAGAAAATTTGTACGTAAAATTTTAAATATTAAAATAGATCTAAATAATTCTCCAAAACATTAATTATTCGTAACACTCAATTATTTCTCAGAAAAGTGTAACAGGCGTACCAGTCCTCGAAGTGGGAAAAAAACGTAAGCATAAGAAAGGTGAGAAACACAAATGAATGCAAAGAACACAGTCATTAAGCCAGAAAGGAGACCACGTTGATGCCCTCACCCACACACACAGTCCACCTGTCTGCCTTTCTGTCCCTCTGTTTTCACCGTTATACTATTCTCTCTCTACATATACACACACGTTACAATCATACACAGCTCACATATCATACACAGCTTACATATACCACAATATCAATAAACCCTTTTCCTCTCTCTCTCTCTCCCCCAAGAAGTTCCCTTTAGCTTCAAACCTTCATCTTGAACGACCAAGTGCATGGTGTAGATACCTATACAAGTGTAGATATAGATACAGATATTGTACGTATAGGTGGTGTAGGAAGATGACGATGAGCAACATTAATAACGGACAGTTCGGAGACACCAGGCTGACCAAGGTGTTCGTCGGAGGCTTAGCGTGGGAGACTCCGAAGGACGCCATGAGAGAGCACTTCGAGAAGTTCGGTGACATCTTGGAAGCTGTTATCATCTCCGACAAGTTCACCGGCAGATCCAAGGGTTACGGCTTCGTAAGTCGCTACTTCTTTTCTTTTCTTTTTTAGGCCAGACAAAGAGGAAGAAGATGAACACACGACTTCCAACAATAAATAATCATTAAGTCAATGGTTAACCCTATATTTTCTTTTCAAAACATCAAAACTTTGATTCTTTAATGAGAATTATTGACAAAAATTACTTTTTCTTCTTAGTGGTGGTGGCACTAGTGGCGTTTGCTAATGTGCACCGTGGTTCTATTTTAGATTACGTTTAAGGATGCGGAGGCGGCTAAGAAGGCTTGCGAGGATGCCACACCGGTCATCAATGGTCGCCGAGCCAACTGTAACCTGGCTTCTCTCGGGGCACGCCGCCCAAGGACTTCGTCCACCACTCCTCCTCAACAATGGTCAAGTCAAAATTACAAGATTGCCACTGATGGTTCGTGTTCTCTCTCGTAAATTTGATCTTTATGGAGGGGGGTCTAAAATTTTGTTGTTAGCTGCACATATATGGATTAAATTTGAGATATCGTTCAAGTTTACAATTCGCCTAAAATTCAAATTCACGTCAATTCGAATTGATCAAGTGACTTATTACTTGGGATCGATATTCAGACTCAACGCAAGTTATAAAATCTATTATTCAGACGTGACATAAATAGATTCGCTAATTCAATGAGTAATATTTTTAAGTAAATTTTATGTTATTACAAAGAAAATATTATTGAAATTTTCACATTCATGGATGTTTTAAAGTTGTTGCTACTGATGGAGCAACCAACATAGGACCAAGATCTACATCAAATGGACCACCAACGAATCAGGTGCCGTGGTACTATCCAGTGGGAACACCTGCATCGCCGTTCCATCATCAGGCCGTTCCTTACTATGGGTATGTCTATTAATTTATCTGATCTTCAAGTTATACGAAGGTCTGTGTTTTGAGTTAATAGTGGTGGTGTTTTTAATATTGTTTTTTTCTTTCAGGTATTCTCCGACCTACGTCACGACGGATATGAGTTATAATCATGTGAGTAGGTGTAAAAATGGTTGCAACAGCTTTTGTTAAGAATCTATGAATGTGCATTTGTNACAAAGAGGAAGAAGATGAACACACGACTTCCAACAATAAATAATCATTAAGTCAATGGTTAACCCTATATTTTCTTTTCAAAACATCAAAACTTTGATTCTTTAATGAGAATTATTGACAAAAATTACTTTTTCTTCTTAGTGGTGGTGGCACTAGTGGCGTTTGCTAATGTGCACCGTGGTTCTATTTTAGATTACGTTTAAGGATGCGGAGGCGGCTAAGAAGGCTTGCGAGGATGCCACACCGGTCATCAATGGTCGCCGAGCCAACTGTAACCTGGCTTCTCTCGGGGCACGCCGCCCAAGGACTTCGTCCACCACTCCTCCTCAACAATGGTCAAGTCAAAATTACAAGATTGCCACTGATGGTTCGTGTTCTCTCTCGTAAATTTGATCTTTATGGAGGGGGGTCTAAAATTTTGTTGTTAGCTGCACATATATGGATTAAATTTGAGATATCGTTCAAGTTTACAATTCGCCTAAAATTCAAATTCACGTCAATTCGAATTGATCAAGTGACTTATTACTTGGGATCGATATTCAGACTCAACGCAAGTTATAAAATCTATTATTCAGACGTGACATAAATAGATTCGCTAATTCAATGAGTAATATTTTTAAGTAAATTTTATGTTATTACAAAGAAAATATTATTGAAATTTTCACATTCATGGATGTTTTAAAGTTGTTGCTACTGATGGAGCAACCAACATAGGACCAAGATCTACATCAAATGGACCACCAACGAATCAGGTGCCGTGGTACTATCCAGTGGGAACACCTGCATCGCCGTTCCATCATCAGGCCGTTCCTTACTATGGGTATGTCTATTAATTTATCTGATCTTCAAGTTATACGAAGGTCTGTGTTTTGAGTTAATAGTGGTGGTGTTTTTAATATTGTTTTTTTCTTTCAGGTATTCTCCGACCTACGTCACGACGGATATGAGTTATAATCATGTGAGTAGGTGTAAAAATGGTTGCAACAGCTTTTGTTAAGAATCTATGAATGTGCATTTGTGATTTGTCACTAATGCTAAGCATGTGCTCAGTGCTCTTTTGTCCTTTTTTTTTTTAGGGGTGGGTGGGTTTAGGTGGAATGCCAAATCTTTTGAGTGTGTATTGGCGTAAAGTCCGTTGAAATATAGTGGATTTTACTTGAATTTATTATATAGTGGCGTAAAATTTGATAAAAATAATTTTTGGGTATCGGAGAGAATGTTGTACGAGTAATGTCATGTGTACAAAAAATATACACTAAAATTTACACCAAATTATTTGCGGTCGTTAAATAAGTGGGTTCCATTACTGGTTTAAGAGCGACAATTGTTATTCCATTACTGATCTAGTTTTCTTTGATTATTTAATGACACAACAAAAATGGGTCTTATGTGCTGTGTTGGTTTACAGAAGCTGAGCTACAATGGTGGGTCCTATATGAATGGCCATTTCTCTTCTCAGATGTATCATCATGGTCCTCCCATGGTGGGTGCGAACACATTGATGCCAATGTACCCTCTTTACCACTTCCATCAACCGCAGACAATAGGCCTTCCTGCCCACATGTATTCACCAACAACAGCTGGCTCAATCACCACTGCCCCAGCTATCATGTCCAAGCCCATATCAATTACTCCTCCCAACTCAGGTACAATCGTCTTAAACACTTGTTTTTATAATTTATTATTAGAATGTACTATGAAAGACGGTAATCATCCAATAATCACTTGTATCGATTAAACTACGATTTTTTGTTACCACGTGTCAATTTTTGTCTCGTCCCTTATTCCATCGTTGAATCAATTTTAGCTGAATGAATGAGTGGTCCCTAATGTTAATGTCCTCTCTGTATAAACGTTGGTAGAAGGACACGGAGATGAAATCTCAATCACATTGTCATGTGAGTCGTAGATTTAATATAACCCTCTCCCAGATGGGTTTTGTCAGACCCACGTGCTCCAAAGAACAAAACTGCTCTTATTACAGCTGTTCAAAGAGAAACTGATTTACTTTTTATTTGTGCACTGTCCCTTATTTCAAAACCTACTTAGTCTAACTTTACAGGATGGAGCGATAATAAGAACGAGTTATAAATTTAAATGTTTTAAATTTAAATTTTAGTAATTCTTTAGAATTAGCTCAATAGAGATTTATCCTTCATGAATACCTTAACTTTGATGTAGATGGTCTGTCTTTCACCAGATTGAAAAAAGAATTAATTAGAATGTGCATAAATTGATCCAAACACCTTTGATCATTGAAAGAAAAAAAAAACTAGCTGTTAGAGAGTAACATTGACGATCGTATGCAAGTTCTAATAGTTTGGGATGCAATTTCTCTTATACAAAAATTGTAAACTGATATTACATATGTAAAGTTTGCTTGGCTGTGGAGTAGGTACAGTTATCTCATGTGGAGCTTTAAGGGTGGTGGGAAAGAGCACTTAGTGGCAAAAATAACAAAAGGAAGGTGGTGGCTGCTCAGACCAACATTATTATCAGATCTGCGGTGGCTCCTCTTTCCATCTATTTTTTTTTTCTTTCTGTTTTATTGTTATTTTTATTCTTAGGCATTTGATTAGGTTCATTCATTCTCTGTCTCTCTCTCTCTCTAACCTGCATCTCAACTTGAGCTGTAAACATTAGACAAGAAATTCTTGAAACAGAAGTCATGTAAGCTTTCTATTATTTTATGGGTTGCTTTTCATGGTTCTATTGAACTCTGCTGCGTAAAGCCTGCAATGTTGAAGCAAGGACTTGGTCTCTCTCTCTCTCTCACTTACTCACTCACACACACACACACTCACTGATGATTAGTATTTAATCCTGTAATTATGTCCTTGGAAAGATGAGAATGTTTCAAATCTAGCTGAGCGCTAAAAAGTAGGTTTAACTTCACCGAATTGTCGTAGTTGTGAAGACTTGAACTTCAAATACTATCATGTTCTATTTCTGGGAAATGAAAACCTCTTCCTGTGCAATGAGGTATATGTACAAACATTCTTCACTAGGAGGTTTATGGTACAAATATTATCCGGTTAAAGCCAGTTTCACCTAAAGGAAAAGGATAACAGTGTCACTAGTGCCAAATGAAGCCAATTCAATGGTACATTTGACATAGCTGGTGACTGATCAATGGATCCATCATAACTTTACATTATTTGTAAAAAGATCTAACTATGGTACCAAAAAATAACTCTCTGATAACATACCTCACTTTTTATCTAATAGAACCTTGACTTGTAAAATTTTCTTGTTTTATTATTTTTTAGTTAATGGTTGTCAATTATTCAAATCAGAATTTTAGTACGGTACCGATTTAGTGCCATAGCTTTATCCTTTATGAAAATGCCAAAATCTATGAAAGAGTTGAGTACAAAAACTTGCATGTTACTATCATCGATGAGGAAGAAACACCATTATTGAAAATGTGAAGAACTAGAGGCAGCACACTGCATGGCCACCACCCACAGAAACCACAAAAAAAACCAGCAAACAACCCATTGATTCTCAAAGCTCCAGGCAGCAACTAAGAAAGAGTGACTTTGATCAGTGGGCAGGGCAACCATATTGGCAAAAGCAGTCAGAAACTATGTGCTCACAGAAACTACCTTCATTGGGCCGTATTATAGACTTTGATTATTTACGAAACACTTTTCTTCAGTTTTAATTAGGTCACCTGTCTGTCCGGGGTGACCCAATACAAATAGAGGCTTAAAGTGAAAATTTTAGATGAGACTCTATTTATTTTTTGCATTATAATATCAATAATATTGTATATAATTATTTACTTAAAGAGTATTTTTTACATTTTGATGTGCAAAAATACTATTTATATTTTTGTATTTGAATTTTGTTAATATATATATTCTTTTAATAGATAATATAGCGAGTCCATACAAATTCTAACATCTAATGATAACTATAATATAATGGTACAATAAAAAATTACTAAATTTTGTGTTAGTACAAGCATTGAAAATAAAATATTCATAAATGACCCCAAATACTATTTGGGTTATTAAATGAATATGAATATAAAAATAATATTTGGGGTCGTAAAAATAAATTGGGCTTAATTGAACCTTGGTCAACAATATTTTCTTGGGGTCATGAAAATAAAGGTGGACTTAATTGAACACAAAATTAGAAACTTTGAAGGATTATTACATTCTAAGTTCGACTATCACAATAATTTGTTTTGGGTAAGTCACAAAAATCTGGGTTTACACAATACGAGAAACTTGCATCAAATACATATAGAGTGTTTGCTATAGTTACGTTTATGTGGTTAGAACGATTCTCCATTATCCAAAAATGAAGTGTTCGCCCAACTCAGTTTTATTTGTATAAGTTTTTCTTCTTAATGTAAAAGAGAAAATTGAGGAACATGTACATTCAATGCATTTATGGGTTTCAAACTTGGTGGGCCTGCCCAATACTTTTTGCGGCCCAAATATTTTTTTTTTAGTAATAAATTGTTCGGGTTGAGTTTGATTTTGGTTTGGGTTGTGCAAGCTTGGCATTAATTTCTGCCGTGAACTCGGGTTCATCCTAACTCCGTATTGGGTTTGGGCTAGGCCCATATTTTATCCTCTTTAGATCTATCTTACTTATTTCTAAGGGTTGTTTGGATGAATTTTAGGGAGGGTTTGAATTAGGTTCTCTAAATCCAAATTTATCTTTACAGATATGAGATTCAACATTTAATTCGGTCTATACTCATATTTGGTACGCAACATATACACATATAGCACCTACGAATATATCATAATTATTAACAATTATTTGTCTTGTAAATGACTATTTTACCCTTACTCAATTCAATTTATATTCATGTTAAGGGGTACAATTATTTTTTGCATACTTAATCCCTTAACTCATCTCCTCAAACCCCCCTCTCTAGGATTTTGTCAAACCCATGATTATGAGTTTAATCTTCGGATCAGTTACAAGGTGGATTTGAGAACCCATGATTAAATTTTCAATCCAAACATAAGATTTGAGGGTTATTTGGACTATTTTTTCCAAACTCATCTTGTCAAGTCCTCCATACCTTTTTACCAAATAGCCCCAAGTGTTCTTTGAATTAAGTTGAAGTTAATGGTTGGACTAGTGATTATTGCTCTCATTGTTAGATTTTAAGGTCACAAATTCAAACCTCGTCATCCCTCTCCCTTGTAAAAGTTATTATTATTAAGTTTAGAAACTTTGGAGTAGCAAAATCATTTTTGCACTCTCTTTTTCTAAACCTTTTAACCTGAATTTTAGAGGGGTAATTTTCTGTTGCAAAATTTTGAGGTATTTTAGGCTCCATACTTAAGTTTTTGATGTTATTGGATCAGAGTAACTATTATATATTCTTTATGAGCAATTTTATTGGGATCTAATTTATTAATCTAAGTTAGTGACTTAATTTACTAGGGCCTTTGGATTACTGTGGACATTATCAAACATTGAAAATATTGAAACTTGGTATTGATCTAATATTTTTAATAAAATCACAATATTAAATTAACAAATTATATCAAATTTTTAAGTTTAAGTAGCATTACCAACCGGTTAAGTGTTGGATGCAAGTTATTGCCCACAAAACTAAATGAAATTGGTTAAATCAATAAAAAAATTTGAGTAAACTATACAAATGACTTTTAAACTATGACTCTTATGTTAATTAAGTTCTTAAATTAAATTTCGTGTTAATTAATTATCTAAATTCAAAAATTTTAGTAATTAAGCCCCTAAATTAATTTTTGTGTCAATTGAGCCCCTAAGCTTTAAAATTTTAATAATTAAGCTCTTATGTCGGTGGTCGTTAAGTTTTTGGCAGAATGTCTCATATGCTCATCACATAGACAACAAATTAGGGATATTTTAGACTATTTGTTTGAAACTTATCAGGCGAAGAATCTCATTCCTTATGCCTATCAACTGAAAACATAAACCTAAACCTCTTTCATACCCATAAAACAAAGCAAATCAACAAACTCTTCAAAGAGTCTATATTTATGTAATATTTTTTCTACACTAGATCGAAGAATTTGTTGATTTGCTTCGTTTGATGGGTATGAAAGAAATTTAGGATTAGGGTTTCAATTGATGGATGTAATGAAGGGGGGTTCTTCTGTTGATAGGTTTTGAACGAACAGTCTAAATATCCTCAATATATTTTTCATAAGGTGAGCACGTAAGACATTTCATCCCAAAATCTAAAAGGTGTTGACATAAGGGTTTAATTGCTAAAATTTTAAATTTTAGGGGCTCAATTAACACAAAAATCAACTTTGAGACTTAATCAACACAAAAGTCTTAATTTAAAGACCATTTGTGTAGTTTACTCAAAAAATTTCAATATAATTTGTAACTCTTGGTTAGATTCTTTTACAACTATTGATTATTTACAGATACCATTTTTTTATGGAACAAAAAAAAATATATGATATTAAAAAATAATTTTATGAGATTCAACAGTTCAAAATCTAAGTGGGAATTTACAAATCTTAATCAAATCTTTCGAGTTACAATTTTTAGTAATGTACCTCTGCGTTTTATTTAATAAAATTTTGACCCGTATAATTTTTTTATTATTATTTTGTATTAGCCTTTTCATTTCCTCACTCAATAGCTATAAAATCAATAAAACTAAAAATTACCACTCTCAATCAACTTTGATACAATACCCATTTTCTTATGAGTAAAATAGACTTCCCATTCAACTTTCAATTTATTTTCACCAAGTAACATGGAGAATTTGCTCCCAAAGCTATAAACAATATGTGCTTGATAAATGATAATCTCCCATTCTCCATCGATAAAGTAAGATGTATATACAAAGAATGAGATACTCTAGATTAAGTAGTAAATCATTTACTATTGTTATAAGTGAGATTTATTATTTATGGATGAGTTACTCTGTCTTACATAATAGATGATCTATCAAATAATTATTTTTTACTCAATTTAGTAACGAGTTCAAAGGAGTAAGACATATATAATAAGATCGAAATCCTCTTTATTGCTTGTTTCCAAAATTTTAATTAATGGCATATTACTTATTATGAATATAAACAAGATTCACTATCTATAAGTGAATTTCTCATTCATAAGTGATAGATAATTTAGCATGAGTGAAATCAAAGGAAAAAACTATGGGGAAGATTACAAATATTAATTTTGGTATTATACCGAAATTTATAATTTTTGAGGTCACATTATATTTTTTTTGAAGTAGAAGTTAAAAATAAAAAAATGATAAAAATTATAACTTTTAAAAGTAAAATTATTATTTTTTAAGGTGAAATTACACATTATAAAAGTGAAGTTGCAATGGAGTAGGAATATTTATAATTAATTATAATATTTCATGATCGATAATAAAATTATTTGAAATAGTTGTAGTTTTACTTTTAACATGTATTACTTGATCTTACAAAAATAATAATTTTATGGTACCCAATTTTAATTACCCAAAAATTATGTCTTACATCAAGCCATGGGAAGTACAGTTAACCTAGGAACACAAGTTTGCTTAAGTGACTGGACTGTCAGGATTCTACTGCTAATCACCAATCACAAATTGTTACGGAACTAAATATGACATAAAAATCACAAAAAGCAAATATAGCGCAACGTGTGGGTATATTATTGGTTGTTCATATTTCCAAATGAAACTACCAAGTCACTCCAAACTATCTGGCCACAAATCACTGGCAAGGACACGAAAGCACGACTTTCGGCTTTTACCTCCTTTGTGCTCTTGGATCTTCAACAAAAAAATTAGTTTAATTTGACACCAACTCTATTCGACACCTCACTGACTCTCTCTCTCTCTCTCTCTCTCTCAAAACCCTCAAGATTCTAAGCTTCCAATTCTCAGAAACCCCAAGAAAGGTACGCTTTCTTTTGCTCTCTTTGTAAACTTCAATTGAGTGGTTTTATTTTCTTGGTGCTTGATTTTTCCCCCAAATTTCTTGATTTATGTGGATGTGTACTTTTTGGTTATTTGGGTTTTAGGCAAATCTAGGTATATGGGTGTAAAAGGTAAAATTTCTTCTGATAAAGTTGAGATTTTTACTCAGTTACTGTGGGCATGGAAGAGCTCGATGATGTGGTAACAAGCACTAGTGTTTCAGAGTCTACGGTGAGTGTTACTGTGCATAAAGAAGATAAAACCCTAATGGAAGATTCGGGTTGTGAGGGTCAGATTGAGAGGCCTTTAGGTGGGGGAGATGGAGGGGAAATAATGGTAGAGGTGGTGGGTTCTGATGTGTTTGTTGATGGTGTTGGTGGTCCTGGTGATGATGGGGATTTTGGCGGCAAAGTGGGAGATGATGGGTTAGAGAAAAAGGAGTTGGAGAGAGAAGTAGGAGGTTTTGATGGTGGGGATAGTGGAATTGGTAATTTGGTGCCCCAGAAAGCTGGGGATTCGGGTGGTCAAGTGTGGGATGGTAGACCTGAAATTGGAAGTGGCGGATTGCAGGAGATTCCAGGGTTGTCAGGTGAACAGGCCCATGATGTTGATTCAGAGGAAGTTGGGGTGGTTGCGGTATTATCGAGTGGACAAACCCAACTTGCTGTTGAAGAGAAAACCATGGACAGGGTAAGCGAGGATTCAATGCTGGGGGGACATGCAAGCGGACAAACCCAGGCAGTTGTGGAGAAAGCTACTGTGATGTTCGAAGAAGAGGATATGAATTGCAAAGACCAAGTGGGGGGAGATGATGTCATGGAGGCGATTTTACCTTCTTCAGAAAATGATCAAAGTTCAGAGGTTGCTAGGGGTCATGTGGGGACTGACAAAGACGGTACTGTACATGCAGATGCTGGATTTTTGGATCAGCAAACTATTGGTGCTGTTGAGGGGGAAAGTGGTGAAATGAATGGAGAAGGGATTTCTGATTCAACAGTAGAAGTTCAGAAACCTAATTATGTACCTGATCAAACCATGTCGTGTTCTGTAGAGGATCAGCAGATGAAGGAGGAAACAGCTGGTAAGAAAACTGTAAATCATGGTAACTTGGATGTGGATTCACAATTGTCCCCTGATGTTGCTGTATGCGGAGAACCAGATCCTTCTAATGTACAATCCCTAATAAGTAATGACAATGAACTCAGTGCAACAGATAGTAAGACCTCAAGTTCTAAACAGGATGTTTCCACTACTGATGACAAGGGTGGGTTTGCATCTTGTTCAACAGATTTGCCGAAGGTGAATTTTGTGACAACATGTGAAAGTGCTGGAAAGGATGCTGTTGTTCTTGAAGCTCCAGAATCCCCACATCAAAAAGTTTGTGTTGCTGGAAGAGGGGAAGATGGTGCTGTACATGCAGTTGATGGGTTTTTGGATCAGCAAACCATTGGTGCTGTTGAGGGGGAAGGTGGGGTAATGCATGGAGAAGTGATTTCTGATTCAACAGTAGAAGTTCTGAAACCTGATCAAACCATGCTGTGTTCTGTAGAGGATCAGCAGATGAAGGATGAAATGGCTGGTGAGAAAACTGTAAATCATGGTAACTTGGATGTGGATTCACAACTGTCCCCTGATGTTACTGTATGCGGAGAACCAGATCCTTCTAATGTACAATCCCTAAAAAGTAATGACATTGAACTCAGAGGGACAGATAGTAAGACCTCAAGTTCTAAACTGGATGTTTCCACTACTGATGACATGGGTGGGATTTTATCTTGTTCGTCAGATTTGCCAAAGGTGGAGTTTGTTACAACATGTGAAAGTGCTCGAAAGGATGTTGTTGTACTTGAAGCTCCAGAATCCTCACATCAAAAAGTTTGTGTTGCTGGAAGAGGGGAAGATGTTGGAATGGACATCGAGGAGGTAGTTGAGTTCAGAGATGAAGCACCAGGGCTTGATGCTTTGGATGGAAATTTAAGTTGTTCAGCGAAAGATCAACATTTGATGGTGGAAGAGTCTGATGGGAGATCTGAAAATGATGTGGCACATGGACGTTTCGAATTTTCTGGTAAATTGACCAGAACTGTTGATACTGGTGTCATTGCAGCTATGGACAAAGGGGTTGTCTCCAAGTTTGAAGTAGAAACTGAAATGAAGGATGGTCAGGCTATATTTGATAAGCTTGATTCTTTGAATGGGGATTTACATATCGCAGAAGATGAGAGCTTTGTACAACTAGATTCAGGAACATCCGTGATGGTTGCTGAAGGGGAGACACCAGCGATAGTTGAGAAGAATGTCTCAAACTCCAAAATGGAATTTCCAGATGGGGATACGTGTTTGCAGAGAGAGGAGAAGTTAAATCCATTGACATTGGGTGGAAGCACAGAAAAGGTTGAGGTTGCACAGGCAAATGCATCATCAGCAAGTGAACAGACTGCAGGTGGGATTCAAGTGAAATTTTCAGCAATTGAGTGCCAGGAGATTAGCGGAGCTCCAGCATCTGACGCTGTGGATGACAATATTTCTCTTTCTGGAAAAGAAAAAGATGTTGACACAGTGGATGGGTACAAAAAAGATGATATAGTTGGGAAAGATATTCCTCTAGGCACTGAAGTTGGGGGTCCTGGTCCTTCGATTTTAGGAATAAATTCAGATAGTCTTCAAGAAAATATATACATTCAAGATGAGAAACAGGAGGCAGTTGCCCAGCTAGCTGAAACACATATTCATGAAGTAGATCAGGATCAGATAATGGACTCACTAGTTATTGGTGAGATTTCGAATCAAGAGACTTACAGAGCGATACTTTCCGACACAGTTGGTGAGGCTGCTGCTGGATCTCAAGCTGCACCTAACTTTGTTTCTTTTGAAGGTGAAGGTGACCCTGTCTCTGCCTCTGTTTCTGACTTTTCCATTCCCGTGCCAGATGGAATTCAAACTTCAGAAGTTTATGAAGGAAGTGCCAAAACATCTCACTTAGATGGGGATCAAGGCACAGACACTCATGTTTCTGACATGGTAACTTCTCATGAGTTGGTGAGTAAGACCATTGAAGCAAAAGTTGAATCCTACAAGACAGATGACAATCATATGATGCACCATCAAGATTCTGAAGAAAAGGTTTCAAATGCAGGTCAGGAAGAAGTAGATAAACAGTATCCTGATGGCGAGGAGGTTGATTCGCATAGAGAGCAAACAATAGAAATTGAAGAACATACTAATGAAACTGACCAGTCAAATGAATTGAAACTGACAACTTTGGAGCCTGGAATATCTGTAAGAGAGCATCAATTTAATTATCTGCTGCCACCAGAAAATGAAGGTGAATTTTCTGTATCTGATTTAGTCTGGGGTAAAGTCAGGAGCCATCCCTGGTGGCCTGGACAGATCTTTGATCCAGTAGAAGCATCAGAGAAGGCCATCAAATATCAAAAAAAGGACTGTTTTTTGGTAGCATATTTCGGGGATCGAACTTTTGCCTGGAATGATGCAACTCTCCTGAAGCCATTTCGGTCACATTTCTCCCAGATAGAGAAGCAGAGTAGTTCAGAAGCATTTCACAACGCAGTTAGCTGCGCTTTGGAAGAAGTTTCTAGACGGGTAGAGTTGGGGCTGGCTTGCTCTTGCATACCACGAGATGCTAATGATAAGATTGAATCTCAGATAGTTGAGAACACTGGGATCCGTCAAGAATCATGTAGAAGATCTGGTGTGGACAAATCGACTGGAGTGAGTTTCTTCGAACCAGATAAATTGGTGGAGTATACAAGAGCTTTAGCACAGTCCCCTTTTGGTGGGGTTGATCAGCTAGAGCTTGTGATTGCTAAGGCTCAGTTGTCAGCCTTTTGTCATTTTAAAGGTTATCATCAGCTGTCTGAATACCAGTTTTGTGCAGGGTTGGTGGAAAGTGATGCCGATGCTCCACAGTTGCGTGAAGTTGTTGAGCATGCTATTTCTGTTTTTGAGGAAGGTGAACAAATTCTCTCCAGCAAGGGGAAGCTGGAAAGCGAAAATGAATCTTCCCATAAACATGAACACGATTTGAAAGATGATATTTACCCCAGGAAGAAAGAGAGAAGCTTGTCAGAACTAATGGGTGATATGACATATTCTCTGGATGGTGAAGATGGCCCTGATGGAAAACTTACGAGTAACTTGGTTTCACCTTCTGGCAGAAAAAGGAAGGCTGTTGATTCCGTTAGTGATGGATCAGATAAAAGAGTAAGTATTCATGCTGCAAAAGTGTCGACTGCTTCATCTCCAGTACCTAAGCCATCCTTTAAGGTAGGTGAATGCATCCGTAGAGTAGCAAGTCAATTGACTGGGTCACCGTCAATTCTTAAGTCTAACAGTGACCAACCGGGGGTTGATGTTTCACCGCAGACCCCTGAGAACTTCCAAAGAGCAATCATTTCAGCAGAGTGCTCATCTCTTGATGAGATGCTATCACAACTTCAATTGTCGGCACGGGATCCCATGAAAGGATACAGTTTCTTGACTACCATTATTACTTTCTTCTCAGGTTTTAGAAATTCAGTTGTTTTGAGACAACAGTATTCTGAAAGGAAGAATTCATCAACAGGAAGACCAGGCAGTGGAAGGAAGAGAAAGACCTCCCAGGCTGTTGGTGGGTCTCCTGAAGAATTTGACTTTGATGATGTGAATGACTCTTATTGGACAGACAGGATCATCCAAAACCATTCAGATGAGCAACTTTTGCACAACGGCGACAATGAACGAGGAGAACATCAGCTAGTAGCTTTTGAGCCAGATAAGTCCCTGAAATCAGGGCGTCGGCCACACTCTAGAAAGCGATATTCCACTGCAAATGATGAAATGGCAGCAGAGGAACCAACTGAGGATATTGATGAGAAGAAGCGAGCTTTGTCGCCTGCCGAACTTATAATGAACTTTGCTGAGGGAAATCCCGCTCCATCATTAATGAACCTGAATAAAACCTTCAGACGATTTGGGCCGTTGATGGAATCTGAAACTGAAGTTGATAGGGAGACTGGACGTGCCAGAGTGGTCTTTAAGAGGGGTTCTGATGCAGAAGTTGCTTTCAGTAGTGCTGGAAAGTTCAGCATTTTTGGGCCAGTGCTTGTTAATTACCAGCTCAGCTATTCTCCATCAATCGCATATAAACCTTTGCCCCTTGCAATATCAGAAGGCCAGGAAGATGCAACTTGATGTCTCTTATCTGGAAATCATTCTGTTTTCATAGTTTCACGTAAGCTATTTGCCCCCAAACTACCATTTTGGTCTTTTGCAATGATTTCATTATTCTAATTGGAGTATAATATTGGAAATTTTCTTTATTATTATTGATTAGTTAAATAAATAATATTTGCAATTTGGTTTATGTTTCTTTTGTTGTGAGTTGAAAACATTAGAGAAGAATGAGGAGCGGGAAGAGACATGGATAGATGGCCAGGATTTCATTGGACCCATTTTTTTTTCTTTTCCTTACTTCCATTTCCCTTGGAATTTTTCCTTTTTTCGCAGGGCAATGGGTGGGTTATGATTTGGAAGTATTGAGTATTCTGTTTGCATTCTATACTGTCCTGCACAATTAAGTTCCACAGTTGGGAATACTGTTGAATCTTTTTTTTTGCTGTATATTCTATTGATACGAACCACAATTTGATGAGCCTAGTGATGACTTTTCAAGGCAAAACATTGACCCTTATCATACTGCTTTTCTTGACCAAGAAAGTCATCATCATTTGTAATGTGGAGGATAGTGAATGATTTAAAGAATTTGGTTAGGCAAAGTTTTGGCTATTAGATTTTCCACGCAGCACAAAGATGGACATATGAATTCTGTTGTATGAATGCTAATGTAGTATTTCTCCCACTTTGTTGTGTTCACTTATATCTTTTGCCTTCTTTCCTTTTGTTCTATTAGTGCTTTGTTTTTATCAAATATCAAGTTTATAGAACTATTGATTTTTATAGTTGAGAGGGCCAGATGGAATGGTGAACTATGAAGTCATGGCAACATGCTTATTGGAACGGGCTGCTGAAAGGAGAAGGTAACCAGACTCTTGCTAAGGCCAATTTGTTCAGTTCTCTTTACCGTTTTGTGTTTATGCAAGATGCATGTTGTCACACTTCCTTTACTCCAAAATCTCACATGTTTCTCTTAGTGGATGTTTCCACTTTTAACTGGCCATGCGTTAATTTCTATCCTTGACGATAGTGAATTCCTGATCAATTGTGGAATCATTATACCTATTTTTCACTTGTAAATGTTCAATTATGAATATTGCTCTGTGCGTTAAAACCATCATTAATGATTATGCTTCTAGAGTTCAGCTAAGAATCTAAAGCATCGTTTGAACTTCTGCGTGGCATTAAATTAATGCTTGTGGGGTTTGTTCTAAATCTTTCCGTGTGATATATATTTAATCCCTTCAGATGACAAAATTAATATACAAAGCTATATAAATCATATGTTCTCTCTAGTCCTGCATGGTAAGTCTCGTTTACATTTTATTGCTTCAACTATTTACACCCATACAAAGAAATATGTTGAAAGATACAGTTTAGAAAATTGACTGTTAATTGGATGTTTGCAGGAAGTTGAGCTTGATGATCCATGAATTAATAGTCTTCTGTAGAAAATGTCTATCGTTAATTTCCATCCAATAGAATGGAGAATAATGGATGTTAGAAGTATCCATTTGAGGAAGTTGTTTCTGTAATCCAAGATTTGTAGCAACAACGACCAGATGACCCGTGAATTAAGAGTCTTGTGTAGGAGAAATTTGAAGCGTTGATTTACATAGAATGACACTCTGGTTTTTATTCTGGTATATGGTCTAGGTGTCCCTCAATTATATCGTCATTTATTCACATCTCCCTAGAATGGTCCTCTGGGTTTTATCTTGGTATATGGTGGAAGTGTGCCTGGACTATTTGTAATCTCTTGGGATATCGAATTATCAATGAGAATGAGGTAACAAGTATGATAGATTTTTTAATTATATGCAAGTTTTGTTGGTTAGGTCTTGATTCCTCCTTTTAATGCCTTCAGCTGGAGCATGTGGAGAGATTCGATGACAAATAACAATGTGATTTCATTTGTGCTGCTTAGTACCTCCTGCTTGGCCAGGCCTAGGTGGTCTTACAAGTAGCTAAGCAAGCTATATCCCTTGACCTCAGCAAGTTACTTTCCCGGCTATTACGGAATGCCTTAGCGACTCCTTTTGAGGGTTCATTTGGATTGATTATTTTGCCAGCAGTTTCACTTAGGCAGGGGATTTGGGAACTTAATTTCAAATTTATTGCCTGTTTAAACACAGGATTTTCAAATCCCTTTTTAAGGTATTCAAAGAGGCAGTGGTCCTAAATATTAATTTTCCAGTACTACAACCAACATCAATGTCCCATCCTACCCTTCACTGCATTAACACCATGTCTTTGCCAATGCTGGCAGCACTACTGCTTCTTCCACCATTTCATCACCACCACTCCCACCACCGCCACCAGCAGACCATCACCGGCACTGTCATCACCACAGCTACCATGCACAATCATTATGACCACCTTTGCCACCACCATGCCTCTGCAACCATGAGTATTACATCCATCACCACTAAAGCCATGTCCAACACTATTTATCGACTAGCAGCAACATTATTATGATCAGCACCGATACCTCTGCCACTATGTCAGTGCCAACGTCGACAATTATGCTACCATTGCCACCACCAATACTATCATCTATTGTTGTGACTGTCGCTCATATGCTGCCACCACACCACCACTACTATTGTTGCTACCACAAACACCTTTTGCCATTCCACCCACCTCAACGTACATATTGTTACCTCTAATCATGCCCCGCCATTCCCACCACACTACTACACTCTTAGGTGTCATCATTACTCCCTGCCATTAAGATATCTTTTTAGGATTGTTGTTGCCGTGCGTCATCGTCATTATTATTTGTAGGATCTTCGGAATTTTTGAACCAATCATATTCTTATACTTCTAGCTTTCATGGGAGAATGATATTGTCACTTTTCATGAATCTGATAGGCAGTATCGAGTGGGCTGATCAATAGTTCACTACTCTCCACCACTCCATGTGGCTACTGACACATTTGATTGTTGGCCCTCTCGATCTCTATATGCAATGTGGTTATAGGCCATCTATGTTTGGGGAGAGCACATTAGTCTTTTAATTGTTTAATAAAAAATGCTAGAGAAATATTTTTATGGCCGCACTCGACATAAATGGCTACGGTTAGCACATGCATTTTTATCTGCTTTGAGGCTCTTTGAACCGTTTTTTAGCTTAAATTAGTTAATTGAGGGTTGTTAGGTACAGCTTAAGAGCACAAGTTGAGTAGATTATAATCCCATATGCCTGTAACTTATAGGCAACCCAGGTGATGCTTACTTCCATCAAACTCATTTCATCTGAAGCTACTTAAATAACACCTTCCATGTCCTTATGCATATTTAATTGGATGTTTGATGTTTTGATATGTGTATAAATTGTGCCCAAGTATCAATGTAGTTTTAGAAAATTTATTCATGGAGTTCTTTTCAAAGAGAACTTTTTTCCATACCATTCATGGGATTGAAAAGTGAGTGTCCCTTATCTCTTCTCTTATTTTTCTTTTGCTATTAGCTTTTAAAACTATCAATAGATTGGATATATTAATGGCTGGATTTATATTGGATTTGCTGATTGAATGGAAATGGTACTGGGATGAAATTGGTGAATATCTTTTTTTTTTTTTCCAATTAAGGTGGGTTTCTTTTTGGGTAATGATAAAAAATCTTTGGTTTTGGGTTAATTGGCAACATAGGGGATGTGAAATTCAACATATACTGATTTGTTTTCAGTTGATGTGTGTCTATTGATTTCATTTGTGCATGAGCTTGTACTCATGAAGCTCAGTGAAAATACATCGATTATCAGATTGTAACCTGTTTTCATATATATATATATATATAATCTTTATTGACATTGTTTTAATTTTAATTTATCATAGATTGGATTACTGGATTCTGTACTATTTAGCTTCATATGCACTGTAGCAGTATTTTGCATTATTGGTCTAAAACAGTCGCCGGGGGTGGGAGAACAGACTGTGACTTAGTGCGGTTAGTATCATTTTCATACCAAATAACCCTTTTTCTTTTTGTTTAACACGCAGACAAGTCTAGTTTATGGAATGTTCTGGATAGCTCTGCCAAACACCGTATGCAACTTAGTTTATGATGAGCTTTCCAAACGCTGCTGATCATGATTACTTAACAATAATCCACAACTCTATCAAATGGAGCCATAAAAGCAAAGCATAAATTGGGTTGAGTGTATTTGGGCATTGAGAAGTAGTTGTTTGGAGACCAAACTAAAACTGTTGATAGGTTTTAGATATGTAAACGTGTGTCTCAACATATATACAAGCCTAAACAAGAGAGGGGGTTCTGAGCAAGGAATTGTTTTTGGTAAGTTAAAATTGGCTAACTATTAATAAGATTGAGTAAACTTTCTGATGAAAGGAGGAAAACCACATTCCCGGTGTGGTAGCCTTGTAAATATGGGTACTAAGCCTACTAGGAGAGGTAGATTTGGTGTACCCTCGAAGTCACATCCACATTCTCATGCTCAGTAACTTGCACTTTAAAATATTGTTCCAGTTTTTGGGGAAAAAAAACCATATACCAATGCAATGTTGTGATGAGGGAACTGAAAAAAATCCAACTCAGACCCATGGCTGCTTCAACATTCAGTATTCCTTTTACTCGCCCTCTTCAAGAAAGGTGTTTAAGGGAATTATTTTCTGCTTCTATTTGTTTCTTTTCCTTCTAGATGTGTTATTGCATTTTCTTAGTTGCTCAATGTTGACTGTCCAGGTATATAGATGTGGAGCTAGGCCAGGGTGTCCTGTGTGTCAAAACCCAGCATCTCTTTGAATTTTGGAAACAGTAAAGCCATCACACGTGGGTCTATGCATACGTATTATACTCGTTCATAAATCTATACACATGTTTATATATTTCTTTGATTGGGTATCACCCAACACTGGGATGTTACATCCATGTCGCCCTTTTCACGACAAGAATGTATCCCCTAACATTTCCACTAGGATAACAAAGACTACATGAGCTTTTGGCCATGTCCTAATACACGGTTCAGCTTCTTTCTGTTTGTTTTAAGAAAAAGATGAGATGAAATCAGTATTCATTGTGCATATGGTTCTCCATTCACATGTTCACAGATCACCTCATGAATGGCATAATGGCTGAATGGGCTCCTGTGCATCTCTTGTCCTCAAATTGTGTTGTGCTTTTGACACCTTGCTGTCAATGTTTAATAACTGCTGGAGCCTTTTTAGTTGTTATTTTGATACCTTGTACCTTGTTCTGGCCCCTCATGGTACAAGTGGTTACTCCAAATTGGAGGGAGGGAGGGAGATTTGATACACACGAGATGGAAAAAAATATATGATAACTTACAGTTTAAAAAGCTTTGTTGAGTTGGGTTACATTCTTATTGGATGCTCGGTTTCATTCTTAATTCATGCAACTTTCTATGACAAAGTTCGCTTAAATTCTTTATCTTTATGGTGAAAGTCTTCTGGATTTGTTGTGGTAATGAACTTGTGATGGGATTTTGTTGTGATGATCCTTCCGTTCCCTGAAAGATGATGATGCCATTTTCGGTTTTTAACAGAGTATTTGTTGAAGTATAAATATTAAAGTTATACCCTTTCTACAAATGTTAGTTTTTGGAGTAGATGATTGTTTAACATGGTATCACAGCAGGAGATAATGTGTTGGAACATTGTCGTCACTCTAATTATTAAAAAGATTTTTACATGTTAGGTCTAAATTCTTGCTTGCACGTAAGAGGTGTGTCAAAGTATACATATTTTAGTTACAACCCTTGTTTAACAGTACTAAACTTTCATTTGTCATGGCTTGCAACATTGCAACGGTCTTGGACCTATTTTTTCCTATGTATTTGGAGACGGACTGTGAAAATTAATTGTAGAAAATAATTTGAGGATGAGCAATATTACAAAATTCAAACAAAATTGATTAAATTGTAATTTTTTTAGTGGGATTTACTTTTCTAACACTCAAAGAAGGGCTATTAAAATGTCCATTGGGCTTGGACTATTTGTCTGCTTGTTAATGAATTGAATTGTGATATGAGTTTGATTAGTCGGATATGAATTAATATTAAAAATTTAAATCTCTATCTTATATTTGACGGATTTGGATTTAAATATATTTACATTTAATCCGATTATGATTTGGTGCAAAATATGTGTATATTTTTATGTAAATATTAAAGGAATTATGTGAAATATTTGAAGAAAATTAAAATTGTAGATTTTTAACGGATTTGAATATGAACAATGAAAATAAAATTCATTGGATAACAAGAATGGTCTTTTAAAATTGGATTTGGATTTGAATTTAGATCAGTTAAAATTCAATTTAAAACTGTGCGAGCCTGGCATCGATCAATCTACAATTCGACTACTATGTCCTGGGCCAGTCATGGGCCGTGCCATCAATCTTTTGTTAGCATCTCATAGTTCGAAGTTTGTCAATAAATTGTAAGAGAGAGAGAGATTACGATTGTTTTTAATTTTTATTCATTTTAAAGGTGAAATTATGATTATTTGAGATAATTCATGATTGATTATAAAAAAAATGTGATTGAACCTAAATTACTTCAATCAATTGTAATTTTTCATTCATAATTTATAACTAGATCTTTAAAAATTATAATTTTTATGATTAACTATAACATTTTGACGTTGATCATGCCCATTGTAATTATAATTTACACTCTAAAAATTTTTTCATTTAACTTTATAATATTAGATATGATATCAAAAACGGTAGTGATGTCTTTGTGGCATCGTGGGCGAGAAGAAGAGTCGAGGATTTTTAGGTAGTGGAACCTATTTTTGAATTGATTGTGGATGTCATCAAAAATTAAAATTTGATATTAATGGTTATAATAAAATCATATTATTGAGTGAGTAAATTAAATCAAATTTTTAGGTTTTAATAGAATTACTCTTTTGATATAATCGTTGTTCTCATTTCAATATCCGTTATCACCTGCTTTTGAATCATCTTATTATTGTTAGTTTTAATGTTTTCAAATATAAAAATTCTTAACTTGGGAATTGAGCTAACATTGAAATTTTTAATTAAATTTTTTATTGAATATGTTACTATTTTTTTGTTGAGTATGTTATTGTTTAATGTTACTATATATATAATAAGTATTCATTGTATGGTGTTACTCTATTTTAATGATTAAATTTTTAATTAATTTTTTTATTGAACATGTTATTATTAGATGTTATTATTTTTTGTTGAGTACGTTATAATTTAATGTTACTATTTTTTTTGTTGAGCATGTTACTGTTTAATGTTACTATATATATGATAAAAAAATAATTTTGTTGCTAGCATGATTCTCAAGTTAAGAATTGTTAATACTATTACAATTTCTAATTTACGAGTTGTTAGTTTTTTTAAACAAGTTTTGATTAAGTATAACTATTGAGGGTATTTTGGACAATAGATATCAAAATAAACTTATTTTTAAACAAGTTTTTTGAGTGTACTTAAGTCTAAATAAGATTACAAAAAAGGACCGGCCTCCAAATGAGCTTTTTAATTTTGACATCATGACTAAACCTCCAACTTGCTACGGTGCCTCCGGCTGCCCTATTCCACCAGTAACCTCCTCCAGTGGCCGATGGCGATGAATCCTCATAAATCACAGCATCAGAAATCCCTAGACCTCTCTCTCTCTCTCTCTCTCTCATGTTGACCAGGAGGTTGAGCCGGAGGTGGGAGTTTAGCTATGGTGAAGTGGTGTGTGTGAGAGAGAGAGAGAGAGAGAGAGAGAGAGAGAGAGAGAGGATGCCGTGTTTGAATTGGAAACATGTTTGTGCGCTGGCAGGCGAGAATTGTTGGGTCAATTACTCAAAATTCTTGGACAACCACAAAATCTGATTGGTCAGAATCGTTGGATCAATTATTAACTATTTCACTTTTAATTTTTTTATAAGAAATCAATTTAGTTTATTAATAAATATTTTCTGGCGGTATGGCGTGATTAAGAGTGACAATGAAGAGATATTACAAGTTTAGTGTGTTACATACACGGGGCGGCCGTTAGCATAACTTAATTTTATCTTTTGAACTTGTCTGGAATGCAATAAATGTATTTTCAAGATAGACAAATGTGGTAGCGCCGAAATTGGTATCAATTACTTGTTGAAAACTTTGGTCTTTCCAAGTGATGGGGGAGACTTTCTTGACTGCAACTTTCAGAGTGGAAGATTGAAGAAGGTGGTTTGGGGGGGGTGTTACTAAAGATTTTGTCAAATTATGTAAATTCTGGTGTTGTGTATTTTTGATTTACGACTAATCTGATCTAATATCATATTTTGAAATTGTTTCGTTAGCTTTTGTCGGAGATAGGAATTGAAGATATGTAGACGAAGAAAACAAAAAATAAGACATATATGGTTTGGTATGTTGTTCTTCATCGATGTATTATTATCTAACCACTAATGCTCTGTTTGGTACGATAGAAAAGTAAGAGGATAGAAAGTTGGAAGGATGAAAAGTTTGAGAGATAAATAAAACATCATGTTTAGTAAGGAAGAAAAGTAGAAATGACGGAAAATTGAATGAATTAACTTTCTTTCCAACTCACTAAAATCAATCCTTTCAAAATCGGAAGGAAAGTAGATGAAAAGTTAATTATTTGTGTTGAGATGTATCTTATTTGTCTATAATAATTGCCAGTGCCTGAAGGCACTGTTACTCGGAAAAAAAATTGTATAGCAATTGTCCATAACAGAAAAAGCACCATACAACACAAAAAATCACCAATAAAAAAAACTGAGAAAATTGACAGATCAATTTTAACATATTTGATTCTAAAAATATGACTTTTGAACAATATCAACAATTTATACAGTCAACTTTTTATTTAAAGTGACAAAACTTAAATCAATCATGCTACTCAAGCCTATAATACCAATATTTACCAACAACTATAACATAAAATACGAAAACATTTCACTTACAACTTATAACCTGAATTGAAAACAAAACTTCAACAAATAAGAATAATTAAGTATAACCGTACCTAAAAGTACTGTGTAAAACCAAAAATATCGCTAAAAAAATATAAATCAAACCGGCAAAGTTCACATTAAAAAATTTAAATTAAAACAAAATTTATCGGACAAATTTCACAATAGATCTGAATATTAAACATGTATAATTCTTTAAAAATGTGCACACATGACTATAGAGAGAAATTGAGTATTTATTGACAACACAATAACAATAAGTATAAATAAGTACGTCTAAGGAGTTCTCCAAAATCTTATACATACACATGAAGGTGATTGTTAAAACACGACTGAAAAAGTAAGCAGAAGAAGGATTAACACCATCACTATCCATTTCTCTTAAAACCACCACCTCAAACACAAAACTCACTAGGAATAACTTCAAATCAAAACGCAAAAGCAAGCTATACAACAACTTGTCTTTCTTGAAAATTAGGAGCAAACAGTAAGCTATGTTAATTTCTCAAAAATTAATTTTGTTAGACCCATTTATGAGTGCCCTATATAACATGGAGTGTGGTTTCTCTTTACGTAACAATATGACAAAAAATGCAGTCTTACAACAAAGTCTATTTAGGGGGAGAAAATTTACGGGTAACGAAGGTGTGGGACACTCTTGGCGAGACAGAGAGAAAGTTGGAGCCTTGGATAGCATTAACAAATTAAGACCGTTGAACAGAGGGTGGAATAAAACCAAAATGATTAACAAAAAAGAAAAACCAAGATATTAGTAGTGCACATTGAGTCATTCATTGTAGTCAACGACTAAGATTACTCGCAGGGAGT